CCTCCTCCACTGAAATCCTTTGAGAATTGCCAAATAGAAATTAAGTTCTATAATCTAAGACTGCAAGGTGACCTGTGTCAGTTGGGAACCAAGAAGTACTGCACAGTAAGACTTAAAAATGATTGAAATTAACGGTTAAAACATTCATGGTTTCAGATGATCCCATTGCTCAATAATGTCTATCCTGATGCTCACCTGGGCACCACTTCCTTCATCTTTAAATGCTTTTCAGCTTCTGATCTCGTATTTCAGCCCCTATAATTCAGGGATCTTCTGGCTTCACCTCTTCTTGATCTGGTATCTTGGCTTTCTTTCCTGGCTTCACTGCTTTTGGTTCCTAGCACTCATTTCCCATAAGCTCCTCATTTCCAAGCATCTGGTTCCCTGTATAGTTGGTATTTCTGGTTATCCTCCCTGGGGTATTTCTGGTTATCCTCCCTGGGGCAATCTATATTGAAACATTCTTGTCCCTTTTGTGTTTGTATTGGCTAATTATCACCATTTCAAATTTAACTTTTAAATAACATTTTTGTTGAAAGTAACATTGATAAAGAAAAGTACATAAATTTTAAGTGAGTTTGGTGGATTTTCACAAAGGGAACACACCCATGTAACCACTAGCCTGGTCAAGATATAGAATATTAGCAACACTCATGAAGGCACCCAATGACTTTAACATCATTGATGAAATTGCTAAATCATGGGTTATAAATGCAGTTAACTTTTGTAGACACTGCCAAATAGTCTTCTATAGTGGTTGAACAAATTTATACTTCCTGCAGTAGGATCTGAAAGTTCTAGTTGCTTCATTTCCTTGACAACATTTGATATAGCTTATCTTTTAAATTTTAGCCATTCTGTTGGGTGGACATTAGTATTTAATTGTTACTTTAATTGGCATTTCTTTGAAGAACATCTTTTTTATATGTTTATTGGTGATTTGGAAATTCTCTTTTTCTATTTGACTCTTTTTTTTCTCAGTTTTTAAGATATTCTCTATATATTATTGATACCATTCTTTGTAGGTTATATATACATATTACAAATATATTTTGCTAGTTTGAGGCTTGTTTTCATACTCTTAAATCTTCCAGTCTATGTCTTGTCTGTTCATAGGTAGATTTTCTGAATTTTAATGTGGTTAAATTATCAATCACTTTCTTTGTGATTAGTAAGTTTTATACCCCGTTTAAGAAATACTTCATAACCTCAAGGTCATGGAGATGTTTATTTATGTTCTCTTCTGGAAGATTTCTTGCCTTGCCCTTTATATTTAGATATATACAATGCATTCACACTTACATATGGAATCTAAAAAAAAAAAGACAAAATGAACTTATTTACAAAACAGAAATAGACCAGCAGCAGAAGAGGGTGGGAAGGGATAAACTGGGAGTTCGAGGTTTGCAGATACTAACTAATATACATAAAATAGATAAACAACAAGTTTATCCTGTATAGCACAGGGAACTACATTCAATATCTTGTAGTAACTTGTGATGAAAAAGAATATGAAAATGAATATATGTGCATTCCTATATGACTGAAGTATTGTGCTGTACATCAGAAATTGACACAACACTGTAAACTGACTATACTTCAATAAAAATATATTAAAAATAAAATTAAAAAATAGATATACAGTGCATTCGTAATTGCTTTTTGGTATTGTGGTATGGTAAGGTACTGTGTGGAGTCAACTTAAGTTTATATGTGTGTATATATATATATGGACATATATATATGTAATGTCTGATGGCTTTTTAAAAATTTTTACCTTCATTTATTCTTCATCTATGTTCTTCTTTATGCAGATTTGACTTTCTGACCTATATCCTTTTTCTAATCTCTTAAAGGTTTTTTTTTTTGTTTATATGTTTTGGAGGCAGAGGAGGTAATTAGGTTTATTTATTTATTTTAATGGTAGTACTGGGGATTGAATCCAGGACCTTAATGCATGCTAAGCATGTGCTCTACCTCTGAGCTATACTGTCCCCCTTGTGATGGTTTTTGATGTGTTAACCTAGCTAACCTGAAATAGAATTTCCCAGAATTCCCCTTCTGATGTTTCCAATTAGGGTGGGCTACTAAGGACATTGTCTCATGAGTATTGGAGCACAGATGGGAAGCAATGGCCATTTTGCAGTATTCTTCCATTTACATTCTCTCAGTTATTCAATCAAGTGTAAAACTAATAAATATTTAGGAAGACATAGGTCCTGGAGATTTTCTCCTAAGTTTTATTCTAAAAGTTCTATTGTTTAACATTTTACTTTTAAATTTGTGATCCATTTTAAATTATTTTCTATATAAGGTGTGAGGTTTATGTGAAGTTTTTTTTTTTTGGCTGATACATATCCAGTGGCTCCACCATGATTTATTGAAAAGAGAAATCTTCCATTGAGTTGCTTTTTACCTTTGTTGAAAATCAATTGGGTATATTTCTGTGGGTTTATATCTGGGTTCTTTATTCTGTTCCATTGATCTATGTGTCTTCTCCTCTATCAATACTGCATAGTCTTGATTACTGTCAGTACCTAATAAGTATTAAAATTGGGTAGAGTGATTCCTTCTCTTTTATTTATCTTTTTCAAAATCTGTTCAGCCATTTTAGTTCCTTATAACTATGCCCTTCCATATACATTTTAGAATGAGCTTGTCTATGTTCTCAAAAGCCTTGCTGAGATTTTGATTAAAAACTACATTAAACCAACATACATTATTTTGTGGAGAATTGACATCTATTGTTGAGTTTTAAAATCCATGAGCACAATATCTCTCTCCATTTATTTAGATCTCATTTTCAGAGTTTTATGATTTTCAGCATAATCGCTATATGTTTCATACCTATGTATTTTATTTTATTTTTTCTTTTTTCTCTCATGCGATTTTGTTTAAATTGAAGTATAGTCAGTTCACAATGTTGTGTCAATTTCTGGTGTATAGCCTGTTTTTTTTGTTTTTTGTTTTTATTATTATTATTATTTTTAAACTTTTTTTATTGAGTTATAGTCAGTTTACAATGTTGTGTCAATTTCCAGTGCGGAGCACAATTTTTCAGTTATACATGAATGTACGTGTATTCATTGTCGCATTCTTTTTTACTGTGAGCTACACAAAATCTTGTATATATTTCCCTGTGCTATACAGTATAATCTTATTTATCTATTCTGCATATTCCTGTCAGTATCTACAAATTTCTAACTCCCAGTCTGTCCCTTCCCACCCTCCTCCTCCTTGGCAACCACAAGTTTGTATTCTATGTCTATGAGTCTGTTTCTGTTTTGTATTTATGTTCTTTTTTTTTTGTTTTGATCCCACATATGAGCAATCTCATATGATATTTTTCTCTTTCTGGCTTACTTCACTTAGAATAACACTAGCCTAATATTTCAGTCATACATATACATACACATATTCCTTTTCATATTCTTTTTCATTATAGGTTACTACAAGATACTGAATATAATTTCCTGTGCTATATGGAAGAAATTTGTTATTTATTTATTTTATATATAGTAGTTAGTATTTGCAAATCCTAAGGTCCCAATTTATCCCTTCCCACCCCTTTTCCTCCCAGTAACCATAAGTTTGTTTTCTATGTCTGTGAGTATTTCTGTTTTGTAAATAATTTCATTTGTGTCTTTTTTTTTTAAAGATTCCACATATAAGTGATATCATATGGTATTTTTCTTTCTCTTTCTGGCTTATATCACTTAGAGTGATGATCTCCAGTTCCGTCCATGTTGCTGCAAATGGCATTATTTTACTCTTTTTATGGCTGAGTAATATTCCACAGCTTCTCTATCCAGTCATCTGTTGATGGATATTTAGGTTGTTTCCATGTTTTGGCTATTGTAAATAGTACTTCTATTAACTTTGGGGTGCATATATCTTTTTGAATTAGAGTGTCCTCCAGACACATGCCCAGGAGTGGGATTGCTGGATCATAGGATGTCTATTTTTAGTTTTTTGAGGAATCTTCAGACTATTTTCCATAATGGCTGCATCAAACTACATTCTCACCAACAGTGTAGGAGGGTTCCCTTTTCTCCACACCCTCTCCAGCATTTATCATTTATGGACTTTTGAATGATGGCCATTCTGACTGGTGTGCGGTGATACCTCATTGTAGTTTTGATTTGCATTTCTCTGATACTTAGTGATATTGAGCATTTTTCCATGTGCCTATTGGCCATTTTTATGTGTTTATTGGAGAATTGCTTGCTTAGGTCTTCTGCCCATTTTTGAATTGAGTTTTTTTTTTTTTGTTTGTTGTTGTTGTTGTTGTTGTTATGTTGTAGAAGCTATTTACATATTCTGGAAATTAAGCCCTTGTCAGCTGTATCGTTTACAAATATTGTCTCCCATTTCATAGGTTGGTCTTCTGTAAATATGTTGGATTACAATGACTGATTTTGAATATTGACCTTTGCATTCCAGGAATAAACACTGCTTTGTCATGATATAGCCTACTTTTTATATATTGCTGAATTTATCTCATTAATCTGTTTTTACTAATTTAAAAATATGGTAAGTTTGCTTATAGTCTTGGAAAGTGTTTTTCTTTGTATAGAATCCAGGCTGGCAGTTATTTTATTTCAGCATTATCAAGACTTTTTTGTTAATAATAATATTTATATCTGTATTTATGAGGGATATTGATTTGTAGTCTTTTTTTGTACTGCTTTGTCTAGTTTTGTATCAGGGTAATTTTGGCTTCTTTAAAAGAGTTGCAAAGAATTCCCTCCTTTTCTATTTTCTAGGAAATATTTTGTAAATTGGTGTTAAATTTTCTTCAAATGTTTGGTATAATTCTCCAGTGAAGCCATTTGGGCCTAGAGATTTCTTTTCAGGGAATTTTAAAAATAATACAATTTTTGTAATAGTTGCAAGGCTATTTGAATGATACACTTCACTCTGGGCAAGCTATAGTGATTATTATCTTTAAAAAAATTTTTTTATTTTGGGGGTAGATAGTTAAGTTTATTTATTTTTAGTGAAGGTACTGGGGATTGAACCCAGGACTTTATGCATGCAAAGCAGAAACTCTACCACTTGAGCTATACCTCCCCCAGTGATCATTATCTTTTTAATGGTTATAGGATCTTAGGATCTGTAGTGATGTTCCATTTACTTATCCTCTTTGTTATTTGTATTTTCTCTTTTTATTTCTTGATCAGTTTGATGGGGATTTATGCATTTCGTTAGTCTTTTGAAAGAACCAACTTTTGGCTTTGTTAATCTTTTTGTATGGTTATTTCTTTATTTTTCATCTTAATATTTTTTCCCCTTTCTTTTTCTTTTTGGATGTTTTTTCCCCAACTCTTTAGATAGATCCTTAGATTTATCAAAATTTCTTCTTTTTTAAAATACGCACTTTGAGGGTATAATTTTTCTCTAAGCATCCTTTTAGCTGCATCCCACTAATTTTGCTCTCTTAGGTTTTCATTATCATATAGTTCAAAGTATTGAAAATTTCATTAATATTTCTGACAAATTAATCTGTTTTCACCGTCTTTAATATACAGTAATTTTGCTTATAATTTTGGGAAATGTTTTGCTATGTATAGAATCTAGGCTGGTAGTTATTTTACTTTCAAGATTATTTCATTCTTCTTTAGTTTCCATTGCTCAGCATAATGTTTTTTGAGAGTCATTCATGTTTTTGTGTATATTAGTTTATTTTTTTAGGCTTTTGAGTAATATCCCATTGGATGGATATACCACATTTGGTTTATCCATTCATCCTTTATGGACAATTGGGTTGTTTCCAGCTTTTGTCTATTAATAAAGCTATGCGAACATTGTAATGGCATATTCCATGAAGGTGAAGGATGAGCAGCAGAAGGAAAGGAAAACCGGCTGCAGCAGAGTGTGAGCAACTGGGGGATTTGGGTGAGGATCTTGGCAAGGAGGGAGGACTCTGGGATGGGGTGTGAGCCCCTGTCTGGGTCCTGGGTCTGCCTTTGGGTGGGTACATAGAGCTTGCTGAAGCTCTCTTGGTTGGACTCCACTATCTCTCTTAGAGATACGTTGTTACATTTCTACAAAACCAAATTGTGTGCAGTTTCCTGAACATTCTATATTCTCTCACATCTCTCTGTTTTTGAATATCCTGTTTCAGTTGCTCTGCATGCCACTTATTTATTTATTTAACTTCCTCTTTCTTTCTTTCTCTCTTTCTCTCTCTTTCCTTCTTTCTTTCCTTTTCTTTCTTTCTTTGTTTCTTTCTTTCTCTCTTTCATTCTTTCTTTCTCTTTCTCTCTTTCATTCTCTTTCTCTCTTTCTTTTGCTCTTTTTTGCCAGCTACATTTTAGTTACCATTTTAGATGCTAAGTATGGAGAGAACTGAGTGTCTCAGTTTGCTGAACCTCCAAATCTTTGTGGCCCCAACTTCCTCCTCCCTGCCCCCTTCCTGACACTGCCCCAGAGAGATTCTCAGGTGTCAGTAATTGGAGTTTTAATGCTGGAGCTGCAAAACTAACCGGGGCTTCATTAATAAAGGGAACTGTGGGAGGCCACCCTGCCTGCACACTCAGGACTGGGGGTGGAGTTTTTGGCCTTCTTTTGGTCTTGTTGACAAAAGATGCAAGATCAGGGAAAAGGCTGCCATCGCTTTGGCTCAGCTTGGGTGTTATTCTGAACAAGCAAGTGAGACTGACCATGGGGTGAGAATGAGGTGGTACACAAGGTCTCTAGTCCTACAAGCTCATAACCCCTGTCTACACTGGCCTACAGAGTTCGTCTGACATTCTTCTTATCCAAAGAAAGGAATGAGGGGAAGTAATAGTCAAGAGGAGATGAAGAGCTGGTCTGTTTGTGCACTTTGTCTTTTAGTTGTAACTGGCCCAAACAGCTTTAAAACAAAAATTTAATTTTAAAATATGAGGCAGCCAATCTTCTGGGGGTCGAGGGAAGGGTATTAAGTAACTTGCCCAAGGCCACAAAGCTAAGAAAAAGCAGAATCAGGACTCAAGCTCAAGTCTGAAAACATAAAAGCCCAGGGCCTTTTCACCTTATCAAGCTGCCTGACTTACTGCCGGCTGGGGAGTCCTGTGAGCTGGAAACTAAACTAGACTTTGGCTTTCTTCCATCCTTCCTACTCCTTGGGTTGTAAAAACACATCTTAAGAAGTTGGGGAGAGCAGTATCTTCCTGAAAGTCAGGGAGCCTGCTGAGGCAGAGCCAACAGCCATGCCTGAGTGGAGTCCCATCACATCTGCCCGATGCACACCTGTTCCACGTCTGAAAGGAAAATGCCGCAGAAGAGGGAGTGGGCATCATGTCCCCCACCCCCTCCATTCTGTATCTGATGGATGACGTAGGGAGGAGACCTACCTCTGAGAGGTCCACTCGAATTACTCACTTGAAAGAGGAGCTGCTGAGAATGCCTCTCCTGGATTATTTATGAAGATGGAGAGGAAAGAGGCTTGGAAATAAAGACTTGCAGAGAAAAGGAATCAGATGATGCTAAAGCGAGGAGAAAGAAGGGGACTGGAGAGGGGAAGGAGAAAGAGGCCAGGGCTGCTGTTGCTGTTGGGGTGCAGGTGGGGTGTTGGTAAGGTCAGAGGGAGAAGGCAGCCGGGAGATGCCAAGTGAACGGCGTGGGCTGCTTCCTGCCATCAGTACAAATCCTTGTAGCAGGGATCTCAGCTTCTACTGAGTGGAAACATAGTTTTGTTGATGTTCATATTCAAGCCTGTCCCAGGTGATGATGGAGTGTCTCTCTACCATCCTTATGGTTCTGGCATGAGAGAATTGGTGAAACTAACTGCATGCTTTCTGCCATGATATGTAGAATGCATCTATCCCGTGGGGTTTTGTCCTTCTTAAGTGACCCTCCACGTACATCCTCTGGAACCTGCCTCTGCCCATCATCTTTCCCCTCTTTTTTACCTTTGCAATCCCCTCCCTTCAGTCACCTTCTCTCCCAGCTTGAAAATAAAACTCCCCTTTCCTTATTCTTGCTTAACTTCTTTAAGCCTCAGTTTGCTCAGTTGTCAAAAATGGAGCTCGTGCCACCTGTCTGGCAGGGCTTGGTGAGGTGGAGTCAGGTAGAATTGGAAAGCATGCTTTCCATTAGTGTGTGTGTCTTTCCTTTCTTCCTTTTCAGTCTTTCTTCTAAAACTGCGCTGTCCAATATGATAACCGTTAGTCATGGGTGGCTTCCTACACTTGAAATGTGGCTGGTCCAATCTGAGATGGGCTGCCTATGTGAGCAGCATCAGGGTTGTGTGTTAACACCTGCAGGTCCTGCTGCTTGCTCTTGAAACCTTTGCTCCTGGCTCATGTTCGAATCAACCATTTGTTTTTTTCTATCTGCATCATCTTGATTTATAGTGCATGTATCTCCTCCTGAGATACTTCCAAAGTGAATTTTATATATGCCACATGGTATACACACACACACACACATATGTACACACATATATTTTTAAAATAATAGTTTTATTGATAAAAGATATAATTCACATACCATAAACGTCATCTCTTTAAAGTATGCATACAATTTTGTGATTTCTTTTACAGAGAATTGTACAGCCATCACCACCATCTAACTCCAAAACATTTTTCTCACTCCTGAAAGAAACCCTGTTCAACCCTGTTCCAGTTACTTCCCATTCCCCCTTCCCTCCAGCCTCAGGCCACCACTAATATGCTTTGTCTCTACGGATTTGCCTAGTCTGGATATTTCATATAAATGGAATCATACAATGTGTGGCCTTTTCACATGGCTTATATTTTATGTGAGATTATCCCAATTATAATCTCCATCTCTGGTGACAACCCACGCTATCTCTTTTATGTGATGCAGTGACAAGCCAGTGCATGGAAGCTTAGTTTTGTTTGTATATATGTACCCTTATGACCACTGTAGGAAGTAGAGATTGTCTTTGCTTCACAGGTAACGAACTTAAAGCACAGAGAGGTTATAGCTGGCGTAAGGTCACATATCTAGTAAATGGAAGGAAGAGCTGGGACATAAGCCCAGCTTTTTTTTTTCTTCTAAACTCCAGTGTTAAGATCCATGGGATCTTTTTCATCTTTTTCTCTTCTCTGAACCAAGCAGAGTATCTGACACTCATGTATATGTTTGTGAAATGAATAAATGATCCAGACAGTTAGTCAGCTGAGCTATCGGGTGGTGGGGAGAGGGGAGTGGCCTCTGAACCCCAGATATTATTCTGCCAGAGCTCAAGCTGTTGGATGCCGCAGCTGACACTGAGCACAGGCCCAGCAGGCCATGTTACCGGAGCTGTGTAATCCTGTCGCCTGCCTGCCCTGGGGATGCTCTGCCTTCAATGTTGGCGCTCCTTTCACTGGGCCATTAGTGTGCCACTGGGGTGCAGCAGCAAAACCTCCCAGGGCACTCTTGGGGGCTGCGTGCGCCAGGAGGACAGCTTTCTACAAATCAGGATAGATGGAAATAGGAACCCAGTGGTGAGTAGGGTCACCCAGAGTAATTTCAAGTATGAATTGATTTCTCAGCTGGAGACAGTGTTGGTGTCCTGTTTCTCGTTTGTGCTTCATTGTGCATATTACTTCATGTGGAAAATTAACAGGCGGATTAACCCCTCTGCACAGCTCAGGATGGAGGAATAGGCAGGGCTCCTGTCTGGAATGCAAAATCTTGGCGTAAGAAAGAGGCTGGCCACATGGCCAGGGCAAAGTGCAGACCCATGTCCTAGGTATCCAGGAGTACCTCCAGCCTGTCCATGGGCCACACCTGCCCTAAGGATGCTGGAAAGGAAACACCATGTCATTTACTGAGATCTGTGGCTTTCTAGTGACTGCGGTGTCAGAGCTGAGTAGGAGAGCAAATTAACCCCAAAAAGCCAGATCAATCAGAGCTCCATCCACTGGCCAGGGAGCACCTGTTCTCCCAGAACTGGGGAGACAGCTTATTTATTCTCTGTGTCTGATGATCTCTTCCCAGTTGCTTGTGGTGTCATCTTCTGTCTCTTAATCCTATCACTTGCTTAGACTGCTAGTGTGAAAGGTCCTTCTGATCTACCCCTGCTTACACTCCCCTCCGCCCCTGCCTCCCCCAGCTCAGCTTGCACTACTCTT